TTAACTTAATGTAATATTTGTTCTGTTATATTCTTTTGTTTGTTAAAAATTGTGAATATCGATCCAAATAAAATTTGTTAAATTAAAATTAAATTAAACAAGATGTGTTCGTAGCAGGCTTGTAGCAAGGTTGTTGTAACAATGCTGTTATTTTATCAAGTTGCTACAAGGTTGTCACTAACAACTTGTTGAAAAATTGTCGAATTATATCAGGTATAATATCATACATGTTTTGCTACTCTGGTGAGAATCTACGACAAAGGACGTGTATTTCAAGACCACTACCTACACTGAGAACCAACAGTTTGAAGTTTAGACTAGTGTGAATCTAGCACAAAGGACGTGTATATTTCAAGACCACTATCTGTACTGAGAACCAACAGTTTGAAGTTTAGACTAGTGCATGTGAATCTACCACAAAGGACGTGTATTTCAAGACCACTACCTACACTGAGAACCAACAGTTTGAAGTTTAAACTAGTGAAAATCTACCACAAAGGACGTATATTTCAAGACCACTACCTACACTGAGAACCAACAGTTTGAAGTTTAGACTAGTGAGAATCTACCACAAAGGACGTATATTATAATTTCAAGACCACTACCTACACTGAGAACCAACAGTTTGAAGTTTAGACTAGTGAGAATCTACCAAAAAAAGGGGGGGAAATTTCAAAACCATGCACTACCTACACTGAGAACCAACAGTTCGAAGTTTAGACTAGTGAGAATCTACCACAAAATACGTGTATTTCAAGACCACTACCTACACTGAGAACCAACAGCTTGAAATTTAGACTAGTGAGAATCTACCACAAAGGACGTGTATTTCAAGACCACTACCTACACTGAGAACCAACAGTTTGAAGTTCGAGTAATGGTCACAAAACAAGTCTCTATAATCACCTGCGTATGTTCCGGCGACTTTTGCGATCATACAGAAGACCATTGATTGAAAACACTCACGAAAATTTAGCTTCATCACTAAACCTTGGTAGGCATAAATATCCGCATTGCTTGACATTGACCACTAAAATAATCATAATAATAATTGTCACGTATATTTAATTGGATCAATAAGGGGCGACTCTTATATACTGGACCTCTAGACAGAACAGTTTAAAACTGATAGAGCTATCCAATATAAATAACTTAGTTTAGTTTAGATTTCCTCCTGTAGTAACACTGGATCAATAAGAGATGATCCTTACTGGACCTCTAGGAAGAACAGTTTAGAACTGATAGAACTATCCAGTATAAATAAAGTTAGTTTAGTTTGGGTTTCCTCCCGTAGTAACACTGGATCAATAAGAGATGATCCTTACTGGAACTCTAGGAAGAACAGTTTAGAACTGATAGAGCTATCCAGTATAAATAAAGTTAGTTTAGTTTAGGTTCCCTCTTGTAGTAACACTGGATCAATAAGGACCTAGCTTACTGGACCTCTAAGAAGAAAAGTTTGGAACTTATAGAGCTATCCAGTATAAATAAAGCCAGCCTGTTTTTCGACTAACTTTATTTGTATTGGACTATGTGACAGTTTTCGACATTACTTTATAGTCACAGCATTTGATTAGCGAGACGCATTTGAGTTAATGGAGTGTCTTAGTTTGATATATCAGTGATACCTCAGCTATATCTGGCTGGAAAATGACGTATTCTATTGCAGGCTGTGGCACATACAGATATACTTTATCATACCGTGGCTAAAAATTCAGATTAGTGACAGAGGCTGCCTTACCGATAATTTATATCTAGTCTTTTTTTCCGTGTCTAATGGTTTTAGCTCGAAATTAATACCGTTGACTTTCTCCCAAATGTTTTTACCAGGAATGTGAACATGGGCGTCAACACAGAGCGTTTGTCCGTGCTTGAATTCATCTTGCTTTTTTAAATTTACACTTCCCGACGCAGTGAGATCCAATATAGTTGGAACAGGAAAAGAATTTTTATCAAGCATTAGTGTCTCGTCCACATGAAGATAATGGCAACCTGAAGATAACAGAAGAACAATTAAATTTATTTATACTGGATAGCTCAATCATTTCTAAACTGTTCTCCCTAGTGGTCCAATAAGGACCATCTCTTATTGATCCAGTGTTACTACAGGAGGAAATCTAAACTAAACTAACTCTATTTATACTGGATAGTTCTATCAGTTCTAAACTGTTCTTCCTAGAGGTCAAATAAGGACCATCTCTTATTGATCCAATGTTACTACAGGAGGAAATCTAAACTAAACTAACTTTATTTATACTGGATAGTTCTATCAGTTCTAAACTGTTCTTCCTAGAGGTCCAGTAAGAATCATCTCTTATTGATCCAGTGTTACTACAGGAGGAAACCTAACCTAAACTTACCTAAACTAACTTTATTTATACTGGATAGCTCTATCAGTTCTAAACTGTTCTTCCCTAGAGGTCCAGTAAGAATCATCTCTTATTGACCCAGTGTTACTACAGGAGGAAACATAAGCTAAACTAACTTTATTAATACTGGATAGTTCTATCAGTTCCAAACTGTTCTCCCTAGAGGTTCAGAAAGGATCATCTCTTATTGATCCAGTGTTACTACAGGAGGAAACCTAAACTAAACTAACTTTATTTATACTGGATAGCTCTATCAGTTCTAAACTGTTCCCCTAGAGATCCAGTAAGAATCATCTCTTATTGACCCAGTGTTACCACAGGAGGAAACCCAAACTAAACTAATTTTATTTATACTGGATAGCTCTATCAGTTCTAAACTATTCTCCCTAGACGTCCAACGGTCCTAGGGGCAGTATTACTAATTACTGTAGCGAAAAATAAGAGGCGGCCGCAAAACTTTGAGCTGGCAGGCATATATTGCAAGAACTGCCGTCTGCGGTTGGCGCTCTGTAAATGTCAATCTTAATTACGAGTTTAAAAGGTCTCTATTGACAACCGCGTCGATAGTTGACTTGTGTGACAAATCACGAATCAAATACCAACGCTGCCGCCTGTCGAGTAAAGTTAGCAATTTTAGCTATATGTATCAAATCAGGGACGGTTCGTGAGATTTGCTAATTGTTTATTCATTTTGAAAGACGTCCTTTCACTTTTAAAACAAAGGGTGATTTAGCTTAAAACTAGGATAAAAGACGTCAACGATATTCCCGCCTTCGTTCGTGACTTTGCAAAACGTTTCGCTTCCGATAAAATGGATATAATTTTGTGACGCAATCGATTCGGTGACAATATCGCAATACATGTATACAGTCATGAACGGGCTTTGCAAATGAATCATTCGTCTGGAGAAAATTGTCTGATATTTCTGAAGGTAGAAAATTTGGATCTATAACCAGCAGATGCGAAAAATGCAAATATTTAGGCCCTCGAGCTCTGGTAGGAATCGAACCATGCAGTGTAACCCTGCGATTCCAGTGCAGCGCTCTAACCAACTGAGCTACAGAGAGACAGTTGTCCAGCTCTAACCACAAGTTCATGGATATATAATAAGTCTAAGATGATGCCGATGTAAGGTACGTATATATGGGTATATATTACGATTTTGGGCATATTACTCAATTTGATAGAACTTAATGCGGATAGTTTTTAGTCGATGAAAATTTTGAGCAAACATTTATATAGAGTATAAGTCACGAATTGTTACGGAGATTTCAAGCTCTGGATTAGGTTTAAAAAGTGTCCCAACTACGTTTAAACGTGAATAGAATACATGATATAGTGTTGGAAAAGGATTAAGAACAGCTAACCGCACTCGTTTGATCGATAACTTGCCTTCTACTTTTTAAGGATAAGGATAAAACTTCATTCGACTATACACTGGCCACTTCAACCGATGTCACAAAAATATATAAAATACAAAATCACTAATAATATTAAGAACTACGAATACATATTATACAAAACAAATGGTACAATGTTCAAATAGCTAATTCGTCAGACTAACAGAGGAAATATTTCTATTGAAAGAATTTAAAGATTTGCTGTTTCTTAAACTTGTTCAGGAGTTCTATTCCAGATTTTAACCCCACTATATCGGAAACATTTCTGCCATACTCGGTATTCGGTCGTGGCAGAAAGAGAGACGAATTTGAACCTCGTAAATTATAACTGTGGATATGGTTAGAATTCTGGAACATTGATGAGAAATTCTCGATGGTATTGACAACTAGTTTTACACATACCTTCTCTGTATAAACCAAACCAAACACATTCCCTGCTTCCATTCTTAAAATCGTACATTTGTCCGTCAAACTGAACGGCGGGGTCGCGATAAGCTAGATAACCGTTTTTACATCGACACTGGCATACCCCGAGATCACCAAATCGCCCAGCATTAGTGTCGCCACAATCAAACTTATCAGCCCTTTTTCCATCGCAGTTCGGGTAATGTAACAAGTCGTAAATATCTCGTGTAATTACGGGCTCTTCCATCGAAGAAACACAAGAATAACTCACCAGTGAGTACACCAGAAACACGACTGCTTTGACAACTGCCATTTTTGTTTGTTTCTCCTTGATATTTGTCCCAAAACGTAGCTGGGTTCTCGATATATTGTACGCTTATACAAATTTCAATGCTTCCGCTATTAATTCTTTGTTCTTTTAAAATGTTCAATTTATTATTCGATGGAACGTTTTGTCCTTTTTAAAATGTATCAAAATTCTATTATTAAAGCCTAGTTCGGCGCAGTGATGTTGTTTAATACCACATACTGCTTCTCAATATTTGCCAATCAACTTAACTTTTGAGCAAAATCCTTGAGCTACTGGCAAGCTTTTCGTTTTCCAAAATTTGCACAAGGCTACACGATATTCCAAGTGACTTAATAGCCTTTTTGAAATCCTGGTGTTATCTTCTTCGTATAAAGCCAAATCACGGTGCTAAAACCGACCGTTTAAAAAACGCCAGCTTTTGCCAGAATCGTCAAGACAATGCGGTATTTCCATGCGTGCAAAATTCGACTTGTTTACAACGCAGTCTCTATGCAATGATGTAAAAGGTAGCGCAATTTGAATTTTAAATATTACCTATTAGGACGTGAAGTGGCCTCTTAACAAATCGATATTGGTCTCTGTGAAACAAATAAGGGGCTCTAAAGGATACCTATTTTTGAAAACGGCTCATTTCGACTAAGCAAACTTAATTTTCTCAGGCAAAAGTTTGTATAATTAAAAGTTTGCAAGTTGAAACAAGTAGGGTATATATTTTTTCGAGCACATTGTAAAACTATAATGTTCTAGCAACAGTTTAAATTATCCTACCAGAGGAAATTATCGGTAACAGGAAGATTTTTTTCGTTTTATAATTAACTTCATTTCGGAAGAAGGCGGGTCAATAGGCCAACGGTAACACAATCTTAATGCTGTTATAGGCAACAAAAACTGTAGTCGTAGACAAACTTCCTTATAGGTCTCCCCTGCAGTATAGGCCGATAGAATTTTGGCAAAACAATAGCTACTGTCAAGCCAGTTTCCTTTGGCCAAAAAAGACTATAAGTCATGTATAGCTATAACTTAAACTGGACAATATAAAGCAACGATTGTTTGTAGTTGAAAAGGATAAGATATGTGTTAATGTGTTATGTGGGGAATTTTACTAGTGGTGAAATTCTGCAGCTATCAGATTCAGAATGAAAAAATGATGTTATATATATAATCAGTTAATGTGGTGGCAATATTCCAATAAATAGAAAATTTTTCAATGCTATTTATTTGCTTTCCTATATAAAAGACTAATAAAAATAATGAAAAAAAAACATTAACATTTATTAAACGCTCTAAGCATGAAAGAGGTCTCACAATTTTCAAGAGGGCTCAAAGCAAAAGAAAATTGTCTTTCATTAAAATTTGCTCTAATTATGTATATCGAAACACGGCAATTTCAGTTCAAAACAAAATTTTGGCAAATTCGAATAATTTGTTCTTTGGGACTCGATTCAGATTTTTCGATATGTTTTTATGTTAGCATACAATGGAACTGAAAATGACCAAATAAGCATTTAAAGCCCACGGTCAAACAAAAGATATTAAGACCAAGAGTTGGCAGCCACGCATTGTTACGGGGACATTTCATTATTCAAGCTTTATATTAACAAAATAAAGCCGGTTTGATGAGTGTTCCAACTAGTTAGCTATATGTTTTTAAGAGGAGTCTTTTGTATATTACGTGAACACGCGCTCAAAACTAATTTGCCGTCTTGGTTATGACTTATGACTATATTCAATTCTTAATTCTTAACGTTTCTCAAGCGGCAAACAAACTTAAAAAGTATATGTTTAGTGCTTTATATCTGTAAAATAGCTAAGATTAAAATGAAGAGATTTTAGATGATACGCCAAAGAGAAAATAATGATGTCTGAAGTTCAGTAAGTTTTGCTTTTATATTGCTGTATAAATATGGCGTCAATTTTACAGCTCGGATGATATAAATTGTATTTGAATTGACAATATTTAACTATTATTTTGTGTTTCTCAACCGCCAGATACATTTAAGAAGGTTGCTAACTGTGTAGACTACAAAATAAAACTAAAAGTTAAAACAAAGTAGTTTGAGAGGAACGCCAAAAAGATTTTAGGCTTGCATGCGTTGATTGCCAACTCTCAAGCAAACTCTTATCTTCGTTTGATCTGGGCGTATATGTAAAAAAAATTATATATGTGAATGCGTGGTAGCAGGTGGGGCTACGTACGCTCTTTACATATTTGTATAATTCGCACGCCAAGTTAGCCAAAGATAGTTCGTCGTTTATTATCAATCGTATGAATTTAATACAGTTTTAGAAGTTGAAGACAATACATGGGTTTTATGGTTGGGAAGAGTTCTGCTAAACCCAGTTTGAAGTTGCACTTGTTGTGGCTTGGAATGCAGCCGTTGTATCAAGACGTGAAAATCTGTGATTTAGCGTTGTAAACAGAGCGAGGA